CACAATAATATGTTCGGTAATATACAGAAACACGAGCCAGATATGGAAAAATATAAACCGTGTCTTGAAGCCACACGATCATAAAACCATGCTAAACAAAATTATTCATTGTGGGCAAGAACTGAATACCTTTATGGACTACTTAGTCAACCTAGCGAACACCACTAAATATGTAACAAACAGCGAAACCTTATGAAAGTACATTAGCGACAACATTCATTCGTTCTTTTTAAGTCCAACAGATGAGAGACAAGTAACGTCAGCGTTCCGCGGCATAAAAAAAAAACAGCAAAAGGGGAAGACGTAAATGACCTATACATACAATCAATAAAATTGGCTGCTGACATTTTATCTGCACCGTTGACGTTTTTGTTCAATCTCTGCATGTCTTCTGGAGTATTTCCTAAACTGGCAGAGGTTGCATTACTTTTTAAGAGCGGGGACAAAAATGTGTTGGGAAACTATAGGCCTGTATCCATACAATCTAATTTTTCAAGAGGTTTTGAGAAACAAAAATGTTCTCCTTAAGCTATCAGCATGTCTGGAACGTTACTTGCTATTAACAGAATACCAGTACGGCTTTAGAAAAGGAAGATTTGCGGAATAGGCTCTGCTGTCTCAGAAAGAATCAATAATTAATAATATGGAAAAGAAACTCCTTGCATTAGCAATATGCGTGGATTTTCCTAAAGCCTTGGATTTAGTGAATCACGAAATTCTTTTGAGAAAGCTACAACGCTACGGTATTTAATTTATAGAAGTCTTATCTCGCTGAGCGCAGACAATATGTTAAAATCAGTAGTTCAATATCATGCATCAAGCCGGTAAAAACAGGAGAACCTCAAGGAAGTGTATTAGACCCGCCAATATTTACTTATTCACAAATAAAATTTAGCGTTTTCTTAACGATTGCAAAGTTATAGCCTATGCTGATGATACTACCTTTCTCTTGAGGGCTCATACATGTAACGAGATGGAACTGCCAGCAAATCGTAAGCTCTCCAATCTTATCCTTTGGGCTCAAGTGAATAGATTACTAATTAGCTCGAGCAAAACTAAATGCATACTATTCCGTGCAAAAAACGTAACAGTTCCTCCTAATGTAAATAGCAATATAGCTGGCCAAGATATTGAAATTGTGAAAACGTTTAAAATATTGGGTGTACTCTTTACCGATACTTTGTCATGAAATGACCACGTAAACTGTATTTATCAGAAAGGCCGTAGGATTTTCATCTAGATATCGCTCAATTTTCACCCCGTTTGTTAAGCAGATCATCTATCACGGTCTTGTCCACTGATATTCCGTGTATTGCCATCTGGTATGGGGCACCACTTCTTTACAGAATATGAATACACTCCTAAACCTACAGAAAAAAGGCCTAAGAGTGGTCGCGAATGTATCGTATTTTTTGCACACATATCCATCTTTCCCCCGATTTAAGATTGTTAGAATAACAAACATGTATAACTTCCGCCTTCTAGCTTCCTACAATGCTGCAATAGAGTGAACGTAGCCATATTCTCCAAGTATCCAACCTACTTAGGAATACAAACATATATCGCACGCGTTTAAATGAAGGGTGGTATACACCCACCCCCAAGCGAACCATGGGCTATAGGATCCAGCAGGCACACTCTACCACTCTTACTAAATGCGTTTCATCACAGGAGACATTTTTCTTACAACTTTCCATCCTATGAATGTCAGTTATCTGCTATTGCTTTTCAGGTGCGTATTGTTAACTGGAGTACTAAGTAACAAGAATGCTCGATATTTTGTTAATTTTTGTTTTGTTTTGTACTTTGAGCTAAAAGTATGCTTCTGTGTACATATATATACACCTTTTGTTTGCATTGCTGTGTACTGATGTCAAATGTCAACTGCCATCTTAGAGCTGGGGCCTCTTCAAGCTGCACTTAATGCAGCTTTTTCTTCCAGCTGCCGTCTTGTGAAAGAAAATAAAGTATTGATTAATATACTGATTGGCGCGGCAGCTACTACCTGGAGCGCACGTTTGAAGAGCATCATCATCATCAATAACAGGTCCCAAGGGTTCAGTCCCCAGCCTCCATTTGTTCCAGGCTGTGCTACCAAACAAAGTTTCCATAGTCGAGTTGAACCGCGAAGGGCGTAAGATATGGTACGTGGCCTCCCTGTCTGCGTCTTAGGCTATAGAGCTGCAGGTCTTTGAAACCGCAGAGTGCCTAAACTCTTCGAGCGAAGACGTCATCAAACCAGTGTACATGGATACGGCTGGTCGCTGAGTGGTTGGCATTCCCCCAACCACAGTCAGGAAGATGTCGCTAACAATTGTATTGGCTTTCTCCTGGTAGTTCACCATACGACAGTGAATGAATGCGAAAATAATGCTAATGCTTGGTCTCTGACTAGTCTTAGAAAGGCTCAATAAAACAAGAAAACTGCTTGCGTGAAAAAGAGTAATGATAAAGGAGTAAAAACTCCCCAAACCCTTATTAAAACAAAAATCACAAACAAAAGCGTACGAGAGAGCCCGGTGAAAAACGGAAGTTGGAGGTCATAAATCCTTCAACAGCCCCCACTGGGAAAGCTTTCACATACACGCGAAAGAAACGCAGACAAACTCTCCTGACTCAAGTCGACTTCGGGCGTAAAAGTCGCATCCGGACAAACAAAACGAAAAATCATGCTGGCATGACAGCCACAAACCGCACATCAACAACACCGAGATAACAATAAAAGCTTTGGTTTGGAAAAACAGCAAGCACTTACTTTATTAGTGGGGACAAGCAAAGAAAGGAGCGCAAGAGGCGACATAAGGGAACAAACAGAACCATGCAGACGACAAACAGGCAAGCGCGGCGGAAGAGCAGACGACAAAACGGCCCCACAAAATACCAGACAATTTTTTCCCCCTCCTTTTCCTTGGTTTAAAAGAAGGGAATTTGTTCCGATCTGCCATAGTGCATACCCTCACCCGATATAATATGTCCGCTCATCATAATGTAACGACAGAAGGTTGACGGCAGGTTGTTAGGGCAGAACGGGCACTGGAGTCGCGCCAACATCCCACGGCTTCGTCGGTCTTTCGTGCGTCTAGCGGAAGGATGGGTGACTAGGACGAACGACCGCGATCACTCCGGGAATTCTCTGAAAGAGCTCCGTGACATCGGGCCAAGAGTTACTACATGCTTCGTAACTTAGCCCGCCACTCCCGTTCTTTGTTTTTGTGCCGTGCCGCCCATTCCGCTTCGTTCCGTAGAAGTGCGCCGACGAAGATAGTCTGCTTTTTCCGCACTAGTCCACTTTAATTCAGCGGAGTGGAGGAGATGCAGGCAACGCATGTCTGTAAATTTTATTTTAAAAATAATACAGATCGAACAATTATTTTTTTGAGTACTCGACTGAACACGTCATAATAATGCATGTATTTTATATAATAAAAACAAATGTCTTTTTTTTAATTATTTTTCTAAAGGTGGGGGAGAATTTCGATGTATGACACAAGCACGTAGCCAGCATTTTGTTTCGGGGGGAAAAGAAAACCGAACAAAATCTTTTTTTTTTTTTTTTTTTTTTTTTGGGGGGGGGGGGGGGGGTTATGGGCCGCCCCCTGGCTACGTGCCTGAAATGACAAACGATACCCAAGCACACAAGCAGGTTATAACCATTTTGGTCGTACGAGCAAAACTACACGAAATCACAATTTTCTTTTTCGCTTTAAAATTATTATTTATCATATTGATTAACGTAAAGATTATTCAACACCTGCCCAAAATGGCGATGATGCAATCTGATTACTACTATTAGTCTAGAGAAGCTTCTTACAAGCTGTGGCAATATGAAGCGCTCACAGTATCAGATATAAAATATTCGGCCATGTTGACAGGCGATTTCTTTCTACTACAAACATGCTCAAGCAAACAAAGTGACAACGAATACATCGCAACAAGAACAATTAGCAAGGTAGTATTAATCAGGAGGTATTACATGCACATCATTAAGCACACAAAAATGCAGTCGGGCATCGACTGGCATGAGCACAAAACACCGTACGACTACACATAAACAATAAGAAGGGAGTCAACGAGTCGTTTCTACAACAAAAAGAAAACCAGTATAACCAAATCGTGCTATCAAAGATCATTTTCTACATTCATGCCTAATTTCAGCCAGAAGGATTCAAACAAGACTAAACCAACAGCAGACAACGGATATAGTGCCAAAATACAGACCATTTCCAATATGCAGGAAAGCATACGCTCGAATACCGACTATATTAATTCCTAGGCCGACTGTAGGGGAGCCCCCATTGTCTTCTTAATGAAAAGCACTCGGCAAAGCACCATTTGAATGAGTCCTTATCAAACAATGGTAGAGGGAAAGCACACAAGAAAGCAATTGAGGGCCGGAAACGCTTATATTTATAGAACCCGCCCTACTTTCCAGGAAGGCTGGCGTGAAAATATATTCGCGAAGAACTCAAGCTACCCCTGAAATACAACACCCCTTGACTGATAGCGGCAGCTAGGTCACTCAAAGAAAAAAAAAATTTACTCCGTCGCAGCTGATTGCGACTGTCACCGAAAGCACATACGCTGAACATAGCTGAACCCATTTCCAAGCAGAAACTCGATCTCTTTGGAAGATATTTCAACTTTCGCTTTTCCATATATATATTTTTTTCTTTTCCTTTAAAAAAAACTGTGCAGGTGTGCGATTGTTTTTATGGTCGTCTAAATTATCTACGATCGTTAATTAGCAGATAGTGGAGTTCAGGGACAATTATGAGCTTTTCCCGTAAGCGTCTAGACCGTGAGTAGAAATGAATGACAAAATGAGGAGGGTCAAAATTTCACGATAGCTAACGCACGCCAGCGAGAAAAGCAACTTTATATAGTAAAAAGAAAAATAATAAAGAAATTGAATCAAGCGCTAATTGGCAGCGCGGTTTCGAGGAAGCGACAAATCGCTGGAGCGGCGCTCTCGAGACAGAAAAGATCGGTGGCGTACTCACTGGCATTCGCTCAAAATCTCTTCCTGCGTGCGAATTTGGACCGGCGCGAGCTTCTCGACGTTTTCATCGTAATCACAGAAACACTTTGTGATCTTGTCATCGAACGTGTTCACCAGGTCTTCGAGCGAGTTGGAGAACGTCTCGCTGAAATTGTCCACAAACGAGTTGTCGTTGGTCAGCGACTCGGACGTCGTGGGGCTAGACTTGGACGACAGCGTGCCGTCCTTGTTGGAATTTTCAACGTCTTCGGACGTCTGGAAATCGCTGAAATCGGACCAGTCTTCGGTCTTCGCCAACGGAGCTTCAGCTGTGAGCTCCGCCATCTTGACATCTCTCATCGCGCTCCCGTCTCGTCTCGTCGGCTGCGGTGGCTCCCGAGATGTTGCGGCAGACGACGACGACGACGGCGCCGCCGACGGGCTGCGGAGCACGACAGCGTTAGTTTCGGTTTCGGTTTGGTGGGGCTCTTTAATTTGGTGGTGTGTCGTCGGTTTCTCCGTTAAAATATTTTTTTTTTCTTATTATAATGAACGTATATATTTACGGAGAATCCCAATATCCTGAGTATTATATATATCAAATCGTATTTCTTTATTTTTTTTTTTTTTTATATGGTTAATACAGCGAACACGCTGCTTACCTCTTCTTATCGGCTGTCCTACTGCTATCCGTGCCCGTAGGTCGCTGCCTTGTTCTGCCAACCTGAAATAAATAAACAGACCAACATTTAGCTAAAAAAAAATAATCCTCCGATAAACAAAATTTAGGCATAAAACATTCATCAGAGGGATTGGAATTTCCAAATAAAATTATACTTTCTGCATACGCCTTTAGAAACGTGTGGGCGCTGATGTTTATGGGCCGGGACGCATGATTTCTTTTTTTTTTTCAATTGGTTGACAAACAAAGTAGCCAATTAATAACAAAATTCTTGACCAAATTGTATCCGCAGTTTCTGGGTCACGACCGTGCATATTTGCTAAGGTGCTTACACCACCACGTGACAGAAAATTATTCAAACCCGGTTCAACACACTTTAGGGTGGCGTGCAAACTGCCATACGTTAAGCGGAGTAAAAATAAACGATTTATCGAAAGAGGCCCATTTCAAGTTGTTTATAGTACAGTCATGCCTTCCCAGCCTGAAGCCATGCAAACGCGCGTGGCAGCAAGGTGCAGAACAGCTCAGAAGACAAAATCAAGGGAAAAAACAACAAACACAACACGCTGAGCTGTTTATAACAAATACAAAAGAAGAAACCGCCAACTTTCAACCCCCCCCCCCCTTTGTTTTCTTCCTATTCAGTGTGACTCTGTGAGAACATTATTTTTTGTTTCCCCAGGAACGCGTTCGTCAGCATACAAATGATGACACTAAACTCTCGGCAGCTACCGCCATCTATCGCTCATATATGGCGGCAACCTCTCCAGCATGTCCACCCTGGCTTGCTGACTTGCGGCCGGCCCTTACTTCATTCTGTACAGTTCGCTGGTCTTTCTTCTTTACCAGAGTGGAGAGGCTGAAAGTTTTTTTTTAAACCCTCTGCTGTGTAATATGTAATGTAAAATGTAATAAAAAAGAAGTCGTGCTATCACTTCAACAATTACAGCCGAGTCCGGATGGAACGTCCAGAAAATAAACTATATAAAAAAGACATCCTAGCTTTAAAAAATGTTTTTTTTTTTTGTTTCTTTGTTTTATTTTTTACACAGAAAGCTTCTTAGGCTGAGGATAATTGACGCAGCGCTTCCCCAAACTTAAAATGAAGAAGGCCTCAAAAACTGAAGCAGGTCCGGAGTTCACAAGTCCACAATTGAAGGCAGTTATTGGATCCAAGACCAAAAAACAACGTCATTTTAGCTTCGGAACAATTCCCTACTTGGAAGATACTCGGCCGGAACAAATAAGACTTGAGACAAGTCATGCTCGTCACACTGTAGGATGCATTGATGAATGGATGCATATAAACAAACCCTTTAAATCGGTTAGAGCGCCGTATTAATCGGATGGTGGCATGCCCCACCTAGACAGTTTTGCTGCAACAAGGTCGAGCGCCTTCGGCACTCACAAAGTATCAAACGATACTCTTGCGACGGGGAGTACAATAACACTGTATCCCCTCGAGGATTGGAATGACGCAAGAAGGACCCATCTTTGGATCCGGGGGTCCGGAGTGCAAGCACCTCAAGGAGGAAACCGCACCCAACCTTATACGTCTTCCGTGGGAGTGCAAACACTTCGCGACGGAACGGAGAAAAGCACTGGTGACGACGGGAAGATAACACAAGAACCTCGAGCAGTGGATTAGGACGGAATTGCGACGAAAATTACAGATTATAATTTCTAAAGTTGGCATTGTCTTACCCAGATAATACCCTCCTTTTAAGAGGGCCCTGCCACAGTGCAACTGTCCGCCGTAATATCACGGTCAAACATTTTAGTGAAAATCCCGAGACTGCGGTAACGACAGTGGACGACAAGGTTTAAAACGTACGTTTTAAACCATACGTTGCTTTTTTTTTCGTTTAGTTCGGCCCAAACAAGTTGGTATTTTGTTGCGCTAGTCCGGAAATGATTTCCCCCAAAACGTTCTTGCATTTCAATCACTTACCTAAGTGTTCATATATCACTGTACTAAATGTCGGGGGTGCAAAAGTCCCCGAAGAGAAACTCTATGGAGAAAAACTCGGAATCTTCGATCGGGTTCAATCTCTCCACAGCCACCACCGTCATCGAACGTTCGAAGATCTCTCCTGTTCTACTGACACCTCATAACCTATCCCAAGCTGCATTTGGATTTGTAATTCTTCCAATCCACTTCTCTGCTTGAAATAACGCGAAAATATGCACCATCCCTTTCAGTGCGCCCCACTGGGATCGAAAGTAGAGAACGCACCTCCTTTCACATGTTGTCTTCCGATGGGACGTGGAAACACGACATCTCACCGTTCCCATACGTTCCCTTTTCGAGCGGCGCGAGGGCTGTAGTGAATATGCTCGACCTGTACTCGCGGGGCGCCTGTATCCATGGTTTCACTGTACTGCTAAAGAATGATAGCTCACGTTGTTTGGAACACGAATTTCGAGACATTTCAGGACTCCAGAACCACGCTTATATTAGAAATTATGTGCAACGACAAATATTATTAGCTTCTGTCAAAAACAAACTAAAGTAAAACAGGTGAAATTTTCTCCGTGAGCGTTTCTTTGGTGATCTCCGTTCTGGTGGGCGTATCTCCGGTAAGCTCTCCTCGCTGATCCGTACTAGAGGACTTCCCTACGAGCGAACAAAAATGAAAGGAAACAAAAAGCGAAACCCGCGAGGCCACTCACCCAACCAGGCATGGCCGAAAGACGAATCTGTCTACGCGATCGCAATCGGTCGGGCAGAAGAAGGCAGCAATCTCTCCGGAAAAGCCAACAGCCTTCGGCGCTGAACGACTGAACGCTGTCCGAATGGCTCCTGGCCAGAGAGCGAGGCTGACGGGCGAGCGTGAGACACGTGATACGAAGGTCAAGTCAGGGTCAAGGCGAGCGAATGGGCCAGTCGAAGCTCGGAGGCATCGTAGACAGCTCTCGCGTGATCGGGACAAAGGAAACACCCGGTGGACTCCGCTGCGTGAACGGCCTACGAAAAGTCGTCGAAGGAACCGTCATTTTGTATACTAAAATATTAAGAAAAAAAAAAAAAAAACACAGGCGAGGCGGTGAATGACGTTTATAGTAAACCCGAGACAAAGGAAATTATATATATTTAAAAAAAATACGGACAGAACAACAAAGTTTTCGAATTGAGACTTCGTTGTTCTGCAACAACGGAGACTTCTTTACCTGTTCGTTTTTTTTTTTTTTTTTTTTTTTTTGATGGGGGGTTTTCTGTGGAGATCTTTCATATAATGCTGCAAATCTCTTTTTAGCAGCTACTGGTCATTTTGAAGTCAACGTTGTCGAGGAGGCCGATTGTATAAATATGACTATAAACATGAACCCCCCCCCCCCCAAAAAAAAAAAAAAAAATGTATCTGATTTGCGCAATAAAAGTATCAGAATTTATATAAATTATACAGGGCGCTTCTAAGCTTTTATTAGATAATAATAATAATTGGGGTTGTGTGGATATTTATACAGCGTGTAGTTGGTCAGCCATTCCAGAGTTGCGACGAGTCACTCGCTGTAGGTGAGCGATTTAGCTAGTGCAGTACAACAGCTAGCCTGGGGTCTTTAACGTGCGCAACGCAGTAGTGATACACGACCGCACGCCGATACGATGCTCATCCAAGTCGAAACGGACAGGGGTTGTTTTCTGAAATTTATTTAGCTGTTTTAGTCCGGGTGGGGGTTTCAAAAGTTCGCCAGCGGTGTCGAATAGTGTAGCTATCAAGCGGTATGTCGACAATTTTTTTTTTTTTTTAATATTCGTGTTTGAAGGATTTGATGTTTTCTGTTGGATTTCCTTTATTAAGAATCAAGCTCCGGAACTTATCTTCACCAGTGAAATTTGCACTTCTGGTTGTGTTCAATTTTTAGATTTAAAATTTTTCCAAACACTAGGAGCTATGCAAAGCTGCCCCGAAACCGGAGCTGCCATTTCAAAGTTGCCACCCGAAAGCAGTGAAAAGAGCAGTAGTATTCTCCCTCCTCAAAAATGCTTTGGGGTCAAGTCTTGTTTTCACTATGTTCATGAAAGTTTTACTTTTCAAATTTCACGACTGGTTACTTCAGTCTATAGTTCGTCTCTCCAGTTGAGTGGGTTGAGAAGTGTTCTCTTTAATTTCGGTTCCCTGAAATCCTATTTAAGCGTCTACCTTTTTTTGCGGTTTCCACGTCTCTTGTGGTTCGGGCAACCCAGCGGGCACGGAGAGAGTAACTAAATATCAGTGCATCAAATTTTAACTGGACGACGCGGAAACTGCCTCCCCTACGGGGGCGCCCCCAGCGTGGTGTCGAACGCGCGCAGCATGTGACGCATTAGTGACGTTTTTGGTCCTGACGTCATCCGAGGAGAGAGAGCTGCCCCGTTCCCGGGCAGCTTCTCTCGCATGACGAAAATAATCCCTGGAGAAGGGGAACAAGAGGGACAAAAGACGAACACAAATCTCCAAGTAAATCTAGGGGACTGGTGCGCGACTGAAAAAATCCGCCTGGTTCGGGTATCGAACCTTGGACTTCTTGATTTCCAGTGGAGCGCTCTACCAACCAGTGTTGCGGAGTTGCCACTCCGGAGTTGGAATGATTCCCGGAATCATTCCACATTTTCGCGACCCCGGAATGGAATGGGAATGGAATGGCGGCAACGTTGAGGGGAATGGAATGGGAATAGAATTAGATGTCTTTGGCCAGGAATGGAATGGGAATAGAGTAAGCCCGGTTCCTTACTTTTTTTTATTTTTTTTTTACGTTTAGCTATATTGAGTTA